TTCAGAGTCTCTACTTTGAATGGAGTAGTAATGAGTGTTCCACTAAGAAATGAGGCCCTGCCTGGCCAGTGTGGTTCAGTGGTTGAGCTCCACCCATGCACCAAGAGGTCACCAGTTCGATTCCTGGTCAGGGAACATGCCCAGGTTGCGACTCGGTCCCCAGTAGCGGGTGTGCAGGAGGCGGCCGACTGATGTTTCTTTCTCTCTCCCCTTTTCCCTTTCTCTCTCTGAAATCAATAAAAACATATTAAAAAACACAAAGAATGAGACCTTGAGAACTGCTTTCTTCATCCAACAGCCTGGCTGTCCGTGGTCTTGGGAGAATTGCCATAAGCCAGCAAGTCTCCCTGGCGGTGAAGATGCGTCAGAGACTGTGGGCCTTGCCACAGGGCGTCATTTCTCCACTGGGGGATCAAAATCGCTCATTTTGTCAGAAGCTGTGGAGGTTTTTCCGGTTATGGAGCCTCAAGTTTACACAACTAGTCCATTATTGCTAACAATTTTAGAGAAGTAGGTATTTTTTCTTCTTTCAGATAAAAAAAGGGAAGTCGTCCTGTTTGCATTCATATCATGGAGAAAGGTCAAGATGGCTCTTACACACTCACAGAAAAGGGAAACCATACCCTTTGTAAAAGCAGAAAAGGCCAGGTTCTTTCAGAGTTTATTGTGAACTCCAGTAGTCGGGCCTTCTGGTGTCTCCTCTCTGCAGCATCAGTACCACCAGCATTGGAGGGGTCCCCGCACCTTGCAAAGCCACTGAGCCCCCGTCTGATGTGACATGTATCTTGTCCTGAAACATTTCTAATTAGAGAGCTCCGGCAGTGTATCATTTTAGGGTGTTCTAGTTCTTAATGGTATTCAGCTTTCTTCCCTGAAGCTTGTCTGCATCTATGTTGGGTGCTTCTACCATTTTAATTCTTCAACTTGCAATAACTAAGCAAGCTGTTCATGCATTTCTGAAGGGGCAGAGAAGGACGAGCATGGTGGTGGCAGGCATATTATTAGACTATGTCACTTGTCACTGGAGGTACCTGGGAGAAAGGCCAGGTACCATCTCATTACTGGGCCTTTCCATCATGAAGGCAAGAATTAATTGACTCCATCCATGGGCCCTTTTCACACTCCTTGTCCTTCTACTTGTTAAATGACCATGTTCAGTGACTGTCCCCACTGTCCATGCAGTGCCCAAGACAGGTCTGTGAGTATAACCATTAATTTTTCTTTTTTTTTCTCCCACTCCCCCTTCCTGACACACAATCAGTCAATTTCCAGGAATTTCCTAGAGCTCTTTCCAGTCCTCCTTCATCCTAGTCCAAATCACTGTAATTTTCTCAGTCAATATGACAGCATCCTCACGTTCCTCGCCCTGCCTTCCTACCCACCCAACATAATGTCCCCAATAGAGGGGAAAAAAATTAAGAAATTGAATTCTGCACACTGCACAATGGAGCTGGTATAACGTGGTAGTTAAGGCCATGGACCGTGTAGCCAGGGTGTCTGGATGGAAATCCCGACTCCATGACTTTGGCAAATGCAGTTCTGTAAACTTGGGTAAACATCTAAGCCCCAGTTTAGAGAAAGGAAAGAAGAAAACGTTCCTGATGGAGTTGGGATTAAATGACGTGAGCAGCAGCACGGAGCAGGGCCCGTAGTAAGCACTCAAACGCTACCTGCAGCGGCCCTTAGGAAAGGCAGCCCCGAGTATTCTGCTTTCCCGTTAGAACCGTCTCTTCACCAGGCCTCTCCGTGAGCCCCTCCCCCTCGGTTGCCGTAAGCCCCGCCCCTCCAGTGCTGGGTCCGTGGGAACCACACCCTGGGCCCACAGTGGTCCCTGCTTGGCTCGCTGGTGCTCACGCGGGCACCGTGCTGTTTACCTGGTGCCCCTGGACTTGTTAATTTTCGCGGGTGTGATAACGGTATTGTGGGTGTGGAGGGAGGTACCTTTATTCCTCGGAGATGTGTGTGGAGTTATTTAGAAGGGAAGTGTGCAAGATAAGTTTTATGAATAAAGAGCTGGCACACAAAAGCACATATGGCAGCGTGTCAAGTTGTTGAGTAGATGGAGTGTTCATTGAATCCTTTCCACTTTTCTTTTGGAAATAGATGAAAACAAAGCAGAAGCGCTGGGGATGGGTGGGCAGGCTGTGAGGCGCACCCCCATGCAGGGCTTTGGCGATGGCGTTAGGGCCCGTTTCCTCCAACCCCCAGCGCCGGACACCCATGAGCATCCAGTGATGTGTGATCCTGGTGTTATTGGCCAAATTTTGGAGAACTGTGAAAATCTCTAGATAAGATTAATAGAGAAGCTTGGGGTAGAACCTCACCTTCCTCATTTTTAGCATTTGGGTGTGGAACATTGTAGGCATTCAGACACTGTTGACTGGAAAACATGTCAATTAGGGGGTGACCAAATTTGAGGGTTGCCTGGAAAAGCGAGAGTGTGCCAGTGACCCTTTTTCCAAATCCAGTAAGTATTTGTGGAGTGGAATGGAATAGAATTGAACTAATTAAGGGGCAAGGAAGGTCGAGATTGGTTCTAGACAGAAGGGGAGGCCTGTTTTTAAACCCTCTCTTGTGTGTATGCCTTAATGGCTGCATTTCATATATGCACATACATTCCTTTCAGTGACTATACTTGCTTTTCTGAATGAAGGACCAGGGCCCTTGGGCAGAGTCCACTGTGGTTTTCCCACACGGAGGACATTTGATTCCAGTGAGGACTCTTCAGAGGGGGCAGGTGCAATTATGTTTGTTCCTCGGTGAGTGATGAATCGGACACTTAATTATGTAAAAAATATGGCAAGAGAGCAGTTGCAGAAGCCCCAGGAGAGTAATTATTGTCTGTCTGGGCCGAATGCAAGGCTTTTAATCTGTAAATAAGTGATTCTATGGGGAAGAGCTACATGCAGAGAGATTCTCTGCCACAAAGGTCTCCCCCTGAATGTTTCAGAGTGAGGGCAGTAGCTGCATCTGCCCATCACCTGCCACCTCCTGGGCTTCAAAGGGCCTCTGATGCCCCCCTGCAGCTTTAACCCCTGCTGCCATCTCTCAGCATCCATCGGAGAAGGGTTCCTGCAAAGGATGAAAAACTGTATCTGAGTTCAGCCCATGGAAAAATCTGCATGTTTCAAGTGGAGAGGAAGTAAAATGCGCCTCCTGCCAATTCAAGGACAAACCAAGATGAGAAAGAAAACAATAAAATAAAACATTGGCAATGTTTAAAGAAAAGAAACCAGAGATGCAGTTGTTAGCTCCTGGGTCTCTCTTACACACTGGAGATGAATAATCTTATTTTTGCATGTGCCGTTGCAGGTGGTATTTCCAGAAAGGATGGATTCGCTTCGAGGGTGTGTGTGTACTTTGCTTAGGTGTCTGAGTCTTTTCGACAATGCAGTAGATTCTGTTGGTTTTTGAAGTTGTCCGTGGTATGTGCCGTCTCGGCCCCCTGTTGAGTGTTGATGGGTTGAGCAGGCTCTTCACCAAGGTCAACTTTTCCTCTTGACAATTCAAGGACTTCATCTGGGTTACTGTCCCACTCTCTCGCATGACTAACTTTCCCCTCTCTACAAAGTTATTCCCGTCAAAATAGGAACATGTTGGAACAGCTTCCATTGTTTTTGAAAAGCCCTTGCCGGTCCTCTCTCTCTCACTGCCTCCTCAATCCCATTCCCCTTTGCAGCAAAATTCAAGAGTTGAGATTTTTATCTTCACTTTTTCTCTTTCCATTGTCCCTTGAGCCTGCTCCAATCAGCCGTTCATCTCCCTGCCCATGGCACCTGCTTTTGTCCAGGTGTACCCATGACCTTCACACTGCCAGATCCATGGACAGCGCTTGGTGGAAATCTTAGTTGACCATCAGCAGCCGCTGACCCAGTTCATCCCTCCTCCTTCCTGGAAACACCTTCTTTACTTGGCTTCAGGGCAAACCCGTTCTCCTGGTTGTTCTGCTTTCTCACCGGTCACTCTTCTCAGCCTCTTTGTGGGTCCCTCCTCTTCTCCTGACCTCCTAAGCTTACCTGGCCCTAGGTCCTCCTCTGTCCCCTGCCTTCTTCCAAAGTCACGTCAGACAACATTGTAGTTAATACGTTGTGTATACTCCGAAGACTTCCAGATGTGTGTCTGGAGTACACACCTGTACCCTGGACTCCAGACTGGTATATCCAGTCACCCACTGCCCGCATCCCACTGGATGACGAGTGCGCATCTCAACTCCAGCACAGCCAGATGTGACACCTGTTCCCCACGGGTTTCTCTCACCTCGATCAGTGCAACAGCCTCCTATCTGGCTCACCCATCTTCACCCTAGCTCAAGCCCCTTTCCATCCGTATTCAGAACAGCCCAAATGACCCTTAAAAAATATCAGATCGCATCCCTCCCCTGCCCCAAGGCCTCCAGTGACTTCCTGTCTCAGTCTGGGTAGAAGTCTGTCCAGTAGGGTCCTTCATCATCTGACCCCATTACCTTTCCTCTTACCACCCACCCCTCACCCTCCGCCCTAGCCCTGTTGGTCCTTTCCTCAGAAGTCCCCAGACACTTATTGCAGGGCCCTGGTGTGGGAGGCTGCCTTAGGCCGGAGGGCTCCGTCCTGGGGTTCTTTGGGGCTTGCTCTTCTCCACCTTCAGAAGGTCTCTGCTTACCTGTCCTCTTCTCAGGGACATCTTCCTCCTGTAAGCCTCCCGTGTAAGCGCCTGCCTCCCCACCATGCCCGAGCCTTTCTCCAGGCTTTGTTTTTCCCTATGGTGCTTATCACCACATGAAACAAAAATATTTACATTTGTGTTGCCGAGGACAGACATCTTGTCTACCTTGTATGCAGCTGGGTCCCCTGAGCCTGAGAGAGAGCGGGCACTTGATAGATCCTGCCAAAGAGGGTGTTGAAAAGCAACCCCAGAGCTGATGGGGTCTCCCTGGTCCTTTTTTATGGCATCCTGGGTGTGACAGAGGATGGACAGAGTTCAGAGTGACACATGATGTGCTAACAGCTGTTTCCATCCCTCAGTTTCTCTGTCTGAAGAATATACGGACCTTCCTCTTGGCCTGTTGCGAGACGTTTGGCATGAGAAAGAGTGAACTCTTCGAGGCCTTTGACCTGTTTGATGTCCGGGACTTTGGAAAGGTAATGATTGATACATTTTATTTTTTAATTAATTTTTTTTAAATTGGAAAACCTTTAATCAGATACTTATTGTTTCTTATCTTGTTGAAATAGGACATGTGACTTAAGTCGTCTATATATCTGAATTATGTAGTTAAATTTCATATTGGTGGCTTAGCCAAAAAAACACAAAAAAGCAAGTAACAGTAGCAGTGGTCTCAATGAGATTAGAATTATGTCTTATTTAAAGCATTATATATAAGAGGAGCCTTTTATCCAGAGCTACCTTTTCTGCTGGTTACATAGGAGAGTAGGATTGCTGTTTTTCATCCTTTGGCTAGTTGGTTGGGCCCTCACGTCTGAGGCCCAGTGTTCTTTCCCTCCAGTCTTCACTATACCCAAAAGACTGAATTTTTGGAAGTTGGGAATATTCTGTCTCCCCTGTCTTTATTTGACTTGGGCAAGTGACTTGGGGAATCACTGAAATGTTTGAGATTGTTAAATAACTCCACTTGGATTTCAGTGACATTTGTTACGTGGAAATGTTTTAGTGTTTATGGTTATCATGTGTGCAGCAAACAGTTGGGTATAATAGGTGACTGAAATCGCCCTTTCAAAAGTTATGGTCATTTATTGTGTAGCCATTGGGCATAAAGTTAAACTTCTTCCATGAAGAAGCCATAAAAGAGACAGGTACTTAAGGTGACTTCTTTTTGGTCCCTGCTTAAGGTACTTGAGGTGACTTCTTTTTGGTTCATACAATTGCTTTATGAAACTAAGCACATAGGAAAGTGGGGGGAACTAACCAATACTGAGGAATTTGCCCTTACTCTCGTAATTCAGGTGCTTGAATCTCAAAAAAAAAAAAAAAAAAGGCTCTTTGAGAGTGACACTTTGATTTCTAAGATGGAATATTTTGGTTATAAAATAAAAACCAAGCCATGGATTGATTTGCATGGCAATAAATAACACAAACTTGAAACAAACAGAGAAAGTTGATGATGAAATGCAGCCAGATGGGGAAGCCGCTCTGCTTGGGGGAGAGAAGGCTTAGGTTCTTGACCCAGAGTCACTTGATGATCTTTTGGAAGTTTTCGATCTTCTCGACCATCAGACCACCCGCTGGCCTGGAAGCCTGTACAAAAAAGCAATGGGTGTAGGCACATGGTTGCTGAGGTTTCCCCTTTCTCAGGCAAGCTGTGATTTAACTGTTTTGGCGTCCAGAGAACGTGCTGGAAGGTAACATATGATGACAAGAACAAGGAACTGAAAACCAAGCCTCCTAGGAAGCAGTTGGTAGCGTATTGTCTAGGGCCATGAACTGAAGCCATGAAGCCAAGAGGAGTCACATAGAGCCCAGATGAGGTAGGTAGTTCTCGAAGCCGTTGGACCTGAAAAACACCCTTACAGCTTGAAAAGAGATTTCTTGCTCTAGCCTTTCCCCCTTTCCCCTAGTTTTCTTTCTTTAATCTTCCATTTTCCTTTCTTTTCACCCTCTCTTTTGGGGAAATGAAAAATAGAAATGAATTGGGGAAATGAAAAATGGGGGGGAAAAAGGGCCTAGACTTTGTAGAGTTTTCCAAAGAGCTCTTCATATTTCACTCAAGTTGGTAAGAAATGGTATTGACAGAGACTGGGGAATCCTGTGTTTGGCTGCTTTAATCGGTTACAGTATGCCAGCCCTTCTGCCGTGGCGCTGGGTTCGAGGAAGAGGCACGTTCTCAGTAGGTCCAACATGATGTGCGGAGACACTTGCATGGGCGTTTTTGGTTTGCTCTCCTGCTGTGGAGGCTGTGGATGTGAGGCTTGCGGGAGCTAAAGCCGCCTGGGCACCGCATGGAGCTTCCAGACAGACCCAGTTCAGAGGGAGCACAGTGGACAGGGATCCGCCTGGCATCTTGGCGGGCTGGAGTCCAGCTGTGCCCACAGCCAGATGCATATGTACCTCTGTGGATTGTCGCACGACCTGAGCCAATGCAGTCTCCCCTTCTGTCTTCCTCAAGCCAGATTCTTTCATTCTCTCGACCCAAAGTGAGAGAAATCACAGGGAATCGCCTCGTTTTGTCAGATGACTTGAGCTGTGTCGCTCTGGGAACCTTTCTCCGGTTACCAAAGGTCCACGCCACTTGGAGACCATTCACAGGAGAAGGGGAGGCGGGAAGACAGCTGTCCCGGGACAGCTCCGTGGCGCAGCATGGAAGGGATTCAGTAGAGCTGCAGGCCCAGCTTCACGGCACATGCCTTCTCTCCCTCACCGTCGACTCGAGGCACGTCGTGGGTCTTTGGGGGAGACTCTGAGTCATCAGGCGTCCTCCCCACGTGTCTGTGCATCACAAGGTTAATCGGGGCATGCGCGCCTCTGCAGACCGGGGGCCCTCCTCCCCGAGAGTCCCAGCCCTGTCGATATTTCTGGACCATGCGGAATGATTTGAAGATGACCGGAAAATGTCAGCATCGGAAGGACTTAAAGATGCCTCTAAACCCCCATCACCTGGGAATGAGTAGGGCGTAGGGATATTTATGGATTTAAATCAAAGGGTCCAAGGAGTCAGAAGAAAACCCTGCAGGATTCCGTGTGACTGAGTTGTCACTGAACCCCTCTAGTCCTGTTTTCTCATTTGTAAGTGAGATGATCATTTCTACCATGTAAAATTGTTGTGAAAATGGGTTCATTGGTGTAAAATGCCTGGCAAACCAAGTGGACGAATTTAGATTCAGTCTGCAACTAATGGTTTGGGTAGATAGAGATCACACAGAGTTCTGAATGTGGACATGTGCAAAGCCAGAAAGATGATTCCAGTGGCATTCTCGTTTTTTATTGAGCTTTTTTTTTTTTTTTTTTTTTT